TCCAGTGTTCAAAAACGGATCTAAAATGTTTTTAACAAATTACTGACCCATTTCCTTGACTAGCATGGCTGGTAAACTGATGGAACATGTTATATTTTCACAGATAATGAATCACATTTCTTGCAATAACTTACTGTTTTTTAACCAGCACGGTTTCCGGCGGTCCCTTTCATGTGAATCACTGCTCTTTGAATTAACTACTGACATTCATAGAAGCTTACAAGCCAGAACTGATACCCATGCCATTTTCATCAATTTTTCCAAAGCATTTGATAAAGTTCCCCCCATTGCCTGCTAATTCAAAAACTTTTCTCCTTCCGTATTGACGAAGTCGTTATAAGATGGGTAGAATCCTTTTTAACATCTAGAACGCAGTATGTTTCACTTCATAATCAGGCCTCTTCATCAATGGAAGTACGCTCAGGTGTACCACAGGGAACCGTGCTGGGACCATTGTTATTTTTGCCTTATAATAATGATCTGCAAAATTGTATTAACTCAACTTTAAGATTGTTTGCTGATGACTGTGTTGTGTATGCTAGAAATACTAATATAGCAGACTGTATTTCCTTACAAGATGACCTTTTTAGCATTGAGTCTTGGTGTCGGAAATGGCAGATGGAAATTAACGTTCAAAGAACTAAGTTCATGGTATTCAGCACTAAACAAGTTCCCTTTGTATTCAATTACACTTTATTTAACGCCTGTGCAGAAAAAGTTATGAATTATAAATACCTAGGAGTTTTTCTAACAAGTAGCCTCTCTTGGGGAATGTCATATCAATCATATAGCCGCAAAAGCTAACAAATCTCTTGGTTTTCTGCGTCGTACTCTATATCTCGCATCTGAAGAAACTAAACTTGTAGCTTATGACGCCTTGACACGCCCCATTTTATAGTATGCTTCTGCCATTTGGAACCCCCACCAAGTCTTCCTTGAAAAAGAGTTAGAATCCATCCAAAATAAAGCTGCACGTTTCATCCTAAGGAATTATAACCACTCTCTAAGCGTTACCTCTTTGAAATCAATTCTCAATCTTCCTCCTTTAAGTGAACGTAGAGCTGTATGCCAATTAAAACTACTTCATAAACTTTTCCATCACTCTCCATCTCGTAAGTCTATTTATTGTATACCTGCCTCTTTCATTTCTCGCCGACTTGACCACTCCTGCAAACTTCACCTAGACATTCCCAGGACTAATATTTACAAGTTTTCACCCTTGCAGCTCGCCATTAAAAATTGGAACATGTTACCAGAAGCCGTTGTTACGATAACGGAGCCTCAAGAATTTGCCGAAGCTGTTATTGGTTACCTGCACCTGTGATACGCCCATTGAATTCATTTTTTTATCTTGTGGCATTATTGTATGCGGAGGGCAAGTTCGTCTGCTTCTTGCGCAGGGGGTAGCGGTGACGTCAGAACGCCGAGCCCTGATTGGCTGATGGCGACCCCCTATCTGGGCGTCGTCTGCTGCTTTGCAACGTCGTCTGCTCACAACATCATCTGCGTCTGTCTTACCTTTCCTGCGACTTTCGGAAGTGCAGAGGCCAGATTTACGAAACGATCTTACGCCAAAAATGTGCGTCAGACAAAACTTAAGAACAAATTCCTATTCACGAAACGAAATTTTCGTAAGTTTTGCGCAGGTTACGTCGAAATCCTACGACAGCTCCGAAGCCGTCTTACGCACTTCTTGCGATCAAATCAGCATGACCGACAGCGTCGCGGTCGCGACGACCCACGGACGTTTATTTTTCTACATGCGCTTCTCACGCGTCCCGACTCCAAGCAGCAAGAAAAAAGTAAAAAGTACTTGAAACAGACCACGACGAACGAGAACGCTGGATCCACAAACACCCGGGAAAAGTTCCGACAGCCACGATTCCACAGAACGCGACCAAGCGAGTACGGCAGTTAGGCCTAGCAGGCAGTCCGCGACTCGGCGACCGTCTGCCCACAACCCGCTGGCGTGCTGAATGGAATATGCCCGCGCGACCCTTGTGAAACCTTCCCGTATTATACTTTGATCACTGACCTCAAATTTAGATTAAGAGGCCACTTTCTTCCTCTTTTTATCTCCTTGTTTGCGGAGGCAACGGTGACTCTCGCCGGTGAAAAAGCGGTGAATCTGCGACAGACGCGGGAAAGGTAAAGCAGCCATCGCTTTGACTAGCAGACATAAAGCAGACGACGTTAACTGCGCCAACCCGCCGACGCCGTTAAAAAGTGAGAAGTCTCGCCGCACACGAAAGGAGGGAAAAAGTATTTGGGAAGGAACTTGCGGGCACTAACACGCTTACTCTCGGTTCTTAGCAAACAAACCTCAGCTCCTCGGGACACCTCGCCAGTGAGTCCTTTGACTTTTCTCCTTGATGCGCGTCTGCTAGTTGTTAGACAAAAACAACGTACCGCTCGAGTTATTTCGTCTGCCCTCTCTGAAAGGCGAAGTCAAGCTCGCTCGTAAAGACCTGCACTCCCGAAATTCGCAGGAAACGTAAGACAGACGCAGACGACGTTGCGAACAGACGACGTCGCAAAGGAGCAGACGACGCTCAGATAGGGGGTCGCGATCAGCCAATCAGGGTTCGGCGTTCTCACGTCACCGCTACTTCCTTTCTCATGCGCAGAAGACGAAAATGAGCCCACTTGCGAGGCGTATTGTGTTTCTCACCAATGTCCCCCCCTTTGTAATACCCCTCGTGGGTCTTAAGGGGAACTAATAAATGAAATGAAATGAATGAACCTGCCGCAAGTCGCGGCTTTGACTGCATTCAAGTTGACCGAAAAGCGATTTTTCTGCCTGTGAAGCATCACTTCCAGCTGAGTGAATATCCGCTCTACAGAGATTAATTCAAGACGACAATTGCAGCCGTGCGCGAACAGCACAAATAGAAAAACAAGTACTACAATAGAAATACTGGCTACGACGTGCCGTGCGGGGAAACAAACGCGTGGCTTGGAACCGCATTGGAGCGGCTTGATTTATTGGCTTTCAAATAAGTACGGCATGAGCGTTTACTTTTTACTAAAAAATTAATCACCTGAGCCGTTCAAAATACTCTCAGAGGTATGAAATTGCTGAAAAAAATCAACATGCTGGGAATATTCTTTATTGCTTAGGCGATTACCGAGAAATTCCGTACGTTGAAAACGACCACTATAAAAGACGAAACGCAGCGCTCGGAATTAAGAAGTGATCGGGTTAGTTTGCTGTTGTATTGATGTTTGTCTGTGACGTGTATGTGTACGCGCTCAATGTATATGTTCAGTTGATGGTTGCAGCATGCGTAATGTGTCTACATATGTGTATAATAACGGTTCCCAAAGCTCAATTAATGGTGGCGTCAGAAAATGAAAACATTTTTTTTTTTGTAGAACATGAATTGTGCGGTACCTAGTGCCACCTAGCCTGGCGAATTGAGATTACTCTGCTTGACCCTGCCATCTAGGGGCAAGCGATTTAACCTTCTTTCACGCTACCCGATTTCTGGTTACCGTGAAACAGCGGCTTCGATTTTGTTCATTTTGAGGGCGAATTTTGGTTTCGCGAATCGGTTTACCATTCCTCCGTGATGTGCGGTTGACGAAGGAATCGTTACTCGAGGAAGAGCAAAGGTAAGAAGTAAAGTGCGCGAAGTAACTGGGTATCTGTTTTCTCCGTTTAACATCGCAGTGCTGACCTTGAGTAGACTGAGTAGCTGCTTTTGAAACGCAAGTCTTTACCTGCGGAGAAAAGCTGGCTTCAGAAATAAACTCAGTTCGCGGAAAGCTCGTGTTAAGCTTTTATTTGCTGCTCCTCTCGTCCCGTACCAGAAACGTAGCGTCCTCGTTAAGCGTTATTGAGCTCGATGTGCTCGATTCGGGGCCGCCATAATGAGATGCAGGCGACGGAGGAACCTTGGTTTCCTGCTTCAGGGACGAGAGTTTCTCCCTTTCTAAAGAAACATAAGTTACAAGACCGTTCCTCCCTTTAGGAGGATGTATAGATACCGTTTTTTCTAGGAATGCATGGTCGTGGTGGTGTCGTGTCGTGGTGAAGTATTGTCAAGTCGCCGTTGCCGATCTCCTATGCAAATACGAATTGGCGATCGTTTTCCCATACGCAAAAGCCAGACGAGGCGGCGTCTCACGTCGTTCCTCGCCCTCGGAATCCTGTACAAGCTCTTGCCGCTCTCCGCGCGATTTGTGCACTTCGCAACATTACAGCCCGTCGTTTTCACGGGGCTCTTTCTACGCGCATGCAAAATTCATTGCGGTAAACAAGGCAGCGGCTGAAGAACTCGCCGTCTTCTCGCCTTCGAATGAGAGCTCGCCGACTCGCCAAGATGGCCGGATGTGCAGGTCGAGTGTGACGTATCACGCCGCGAGAGCCTCAGACGCGGGCAACGCAATCGTTGTCTGTGTCGTCTGCTTGCCATACATTGGAAACGGATGTTCTAATAACATAACTCGCGTTATTAAAAAAAAAAAAAGAAAACGGTTGTACTGCATTTAGTTGCCACACGTAATGTTCAATGATTTAGGCAGCTTTCGGTTCGTTCTATTTTAGTCTACGATGCATATTTTGCGAACGCAACGCGGAAAATATGTTCCCCCCGAAACTCGGCGCTCTGCAAGGGAGTTTTCCCTCACGAAGTTCCAGTTCTGAACACGTGACCACCCAATATGGGGATGGCGGCGAAAGGAAAAGGAACGCGATGCTCTGGCTCTGCGAGAAGAGATTACACAGCTACTCTAGGTTTGCTGAGAGATGGCTCTTTGATGCTCTGTACTACCAGATCCTCGCGCTCCAAATCTGCGACCGAGCACTCTATGCCTCCGTCGTCGAACTTCCAGGCTTTGTGATCATAGAGGAGGATATGATGTGACGCAACGCGAACGCTGTCGTTGGTGGCGCGCATTCAACCAAATTCCGACTCCCCTTATCCTTTTTCTTCTTTTAGGTGTCGCGCGCTCTTACTAGTTGAAATGAAGCGATAACAATAAATGTTTTGTCTTGCCCGGTCGAGTCAGCGAGGAGGTCCGGTTCCGTGAGGGGTTCGGTGAGTGCCGCTTGCTTCTCGGGGCGGTCCTCGGCTGCTCCTTCGTTCTCCTTCATATTTAGGTACCCTGGACGTTGCCAAGAAACGTGAGTAAAAAAAAAAAAGAAAAATCAGAGAAGGGACGGAACGCCGGTTTTGAGCAGCGCTCCAGGCGAGCAAAATACAATATTTGGTTCTTGTTTGCATCAATGCGCTTCCCCACTAGAGTTTTTTCTACTCCGCTCCATTCTAAGTGTCAGCGTAGCAGAGGCTACAAGAGCGAGCTGCGAGCTTTCAGCGACTATGGCAAGCACGCGCGCCCGCGCAGTGCGAGCGTCGTTCAGGAGGACGTGCTTTTGCAAGTAGCTTCGGCCTCGCTGTCACGTAAAGTGAGGCATACGTGCTCGCGGAAGCTATGAAAGAAAACAGAGATGAAAGAAATGTTTAATGGGACGCTGTAACCGCAAGCTGCATAATTTTTTTAGGCGTTTTGTTGCCGCGCTTTTACGGATGCGCGGTAACAACATTGTATTCGAACGTGGCACGTGCGAAATCGAACGTTAAAGCGCCACACGGATGGTGCAGCCAGCATAACATGGTCGCGTCTTGCGCAAGTCTTGCGGACGCGCTCACGCCCCCTGCCCCAGAGCCACGGGTCTGTAGCCATTATACAGGTAGAAACCCAGAAAGAGAAGGGGATGGGAGCGCGCGAGTCAGTGGGCCAAGCTTTGGTTGGAATGAGAAGTGGGAAAGCTATCTGCCTTTCTCTCTGCTTACGATTCGAACGCGTTCGAACGCCGGCGTCCAGCGTTCGCGTTCGGACGGGGTTGGAGGCAACGGCACGTAGCCAGGATGCTGTATGAGGTGGAGGGGGGAAAGGAGGTCCCAGCAAAATGGAAGATTTTTTTTTTTTTTTTGCGGGGGGGGGGGGGGGGGGGGGGCGCCCGCTCATGACAAAATGCTGTATGAGGGGGAGGGGGAGAGGAGATCCCAGCAAAATGAAAGATTTTTTTTGGAGGAGGGGGCCCGGGCCCCATGCCCCCCCCCCCCCCCCCTCCCCCCCTGGCTACGTGCCTGGTGGGGGCAAAGGCTTTGAGCTTAGCCCCTTATCGCTTCCACCAGAGCTCGGCCCCCTGACGTCCCCTCGCGCTCTCATCCCCTCCTCTTCCTCAGTTCCTACTCGTAAGTCACTGAAGCGATGAGAACGACAGGGAGGATTTCCGCCTGTCCTGCCTCCGGCGCCACCCTGACACCGTGCGACACGTGCTTTGCTCGCTTTTCGACATTACAACGAAAACACACACACACACACACACACACACACACACACACACACACACACACACACACACACACACACACACACACACACACACACACACACACACACACACACACACACACACACACACACACACACACACACACGCACGCACACACACACACACACACACACACGAACAACAACAAAAGCAATATCCAGAGAAATAAAAACAACGTAAAAAAGGGGAAGTGGCAGAAAACTCCCTTCTTTCTTTGGACCTAATCGTGTCAGATATCGTCGCAGGTGGCGTGCTGTGCGGCGAAGAGGCGTTAAGAAGCGACGCCGGATTGTGGTGCGAGAGTTTAACTTCAAAAATTTGTTTTCTCGCTTTAAACAAAAATTACTCTGATTAAACTTTCAGAGTCAAAAAATTATCGATTGTTCTTTCAAACCCACCATATTTTGTATTTTTACTTGGACCACCTCGAGGTGAAACAAACGACTGTTTATGCGTCAAAACGCACTTTTTTGCAACTTCATGATTTTTGTTTACTGCGAGATATTTAATTGAGCGGGTTGAAACATTTATTATAGATTATATACCTGCAGGTCAGCCGGTAAAACGTTCTATTAAGTCCCGGGAGCATATAGATATTTTTTTGATAAACAAACAAAAATGTTAAAAATTTCAAAGATTTTATTTATAAAGAAAATATTTAAATTAAACAAAACTTTACAAGCCGAACCACATTGTAAGTCGAAAGCCGTGCAAATTTAAGAAAAAAAATATTGTTGGGTGTTTCCATAAGAAGCAGAGTTTTAATGAAATATTGTGTGATGCCTAGTTTCACAAAGTTTTTAAAAGTTAAAACCGCGCCCCCGTCACCAAAAGAAATGTTTCGCCAAAAATATTTTAGGGCATGGCTACGGACATTGCGGCAACAGGCCATGAATTTTTTTTAGAAATCGGAAGGGGTCGAGCGCAACGTCTGGGACGTTTGACATGGAATGACCCAGTTAGAATCATGGCCACAGTCAAGTTCACAGAAATGTGTTAGTCTGAATTATAAGAGAGAATTCACCAGAAAGGGTAATTGAACCTACACTGACACAAGCGTCAGGACCCAAATGGCTAATTTACATTTTTTTTTTTTAGATCTAAACCTCCGGCTAGAGCAAAGTCATGTTTGTTGGGCTTATGAACCAAGAACTAAAGCGTTTCTTCTCAGTTACGATTCCACATGCTTTGAGATTGTAAAGAGAGGTGTTGCAGAATCTTCCATGAGAGCTGCTCTAATTAAGTTATTTTTGCGTAGGAGCTTGAGTAGTTTCCTTAATCGAGTCAAAAGGCTACTTTCACTGGGCTTTCCAAGAGATCTCATTGTAGGTGTCACGGAGTTTCTTCTAAAGATTTTTAGAACTTCCCTTAACATATCTACGAATTTGCGACATAAGCCTACTTCTCGACCAGTTGTGATTCCCTACGTACATACTCCTCCTCCCAGGGTTAAAAAGGTTGCCAAGAAGTTAGATGCCCCAGTAGCCTTCTCCGCACCGCCAAAACTACATCGGTTATGCTACGAAATTTACAACGTAGGACGAAAACTTGTGTTATGTGAAGTGAAAAACCATTTTAAATATAAAGCGCGTGCAGTCGGTGTCGTTTACGAAATCCCCCTGTCCTGTGGAAAGATCTATGTAGGACAGACGAGGTGTGTAAACGTCCGGGCTTGAGAGGACTCTATCTTTACGGAGCCATTACATCGGGACATATCGCTGTACATTGTCAAAGTTGTGACTGCACTCCGTAGTTAAATAATATACAAGTAATGGCCAAACATCACAACAAGACCGCTAAAGAAATTCATGAGGCCTTTTTTTATTAAAGACATTTTGGACCTGACGTTTGTGTAAGTGTAGAATCAATTACCCTTTCTGATAGTGAATTCTCTCTTATTAATCAGACTGGCATATTTCTGTGGCCGTGACTGTGACTGTGAACGTAACCTTGACTCTGTATAATATTCTCTTTCTTCGTCTTTTATGTCAATCTATTCTCTTTTGAAAGAAAACACATGTCGTTAGTCAGCACTGTGTTTCTCTGTGTCTTCTACTTGTCCCTTGCGCATTGTTGTGGTGCTTAAATTGTTTTGATTATGCAAAAACTCGTCTATCTTCACACCTTACCACAAAAAAAAAAGAAGAAAAATACAACGTTGGAAAAGTGCACAGAAGTAAAATTAACTAGCACAGCTGGGGGACTGTAGGGACAAAGGAAACTTGGGACTTCCTCCCGCGTGGCCCAGACCCAAAGTCTCAATCCTGTCCCTCAGTGGGTCCGGTGTGACGCGGACATGATTTGACCAGAAGAAAATCGGCGACTCCCACGCAGAGGCATAAGGCGGGGGGTAATGTTTTTAGTTTTATTTTTCCCGATCTCCCAAAGGTCATCCTGGAGATCACCCCACGGTCTGGTGATAGTTCCAGAAATTCATCGGCTTAAGAAAGGTTAAATTACATATTAAAGTTTTCAGGCTAGGTGGCGCAAGCTACCCCCGTTATAAAGTGTACAGTCGTTATTATCCATCCATCCATTCAAGTGAATTTTAAGGGTTCACGCGTCAAACCTTTCAAAGACATCTGGAACGTTCTAGCCAGGGACCTGACGACGTGTTACACCACGGCTTGACACCCAGCGGCAACCATATTGGTTTTGCTGGCATGCACTGCCGTGAGATATGCGCGGGTCGGACGGACAGGCGGACAAATTTCATGGTGCAGAGGGGATCCGTTATAAAGCATTCCATTCTTTAAAAGGAAACTTGAGGTGAAAAGAAAGACTGCAAATGGGGTGGAGAATACGTCCGCTCAACACCAAGGTTCAATGAATTAAACTAACGTTGAAAAAAAAAGCGCTATAATATTTGAATGTTTTCATCAGATGTATCATCGTTTATATTCCGTCGCCTTGACTACCTTGACTTCGGCGGTCAGAAAAATGGTGACGGACGCGAAGGGTCAGCTGCAAAATATAATTGTACAACAAGGCTGACACCGTTGCTCGACTAGCCTATACTACGTTTCAGCCTAAAGGGCAACTCCGGTCGAAAACGAAACGAACATAAATGACGGGTATTGCTTTAGTGGCATGAACCATGATAACAGACGAAATAGTTTGTCAAAGTGAAGCCACGTATTCCATCAAAAACCGATTTTAAAGATGCGACCAGCTGCCCTTTAGCGGGCGGCAAGTGGGTTAGCTTCTAGCCATTCAACACTGGGCGACGCGTACGGCAGCACCCCTCGTGATGTCACGTCGTAATGGTGCTACAGTCGATTCCGCACGTTGTACCTAATGTCCCTGAATAAGAAAGGTAGCGACATGTTCTCCCTCCTCCTCTGACGCGCACACCTTTTATCTTTATGTTTTGCAATTTTACACCCACGTGTCGATTGTAGCGCCGCCTGGATCGCTCCAAGATATCAGACGGCCTTCCTATACCTGAGTCAGAGCACAGTCAAAGGCTGAAAGACACGCAACTACATACACACAGGATCAAAAACGCACTGTCACGGTCTACCAGCCTCGAAGAATGTGCTCAAAGAAAGACGATGAAAGCCGGGACGTTACACAGTCGGCGTTATTTGATTGGCAACATGAGCTCATAGCATGCACTGCACTCCGACAGCATAGGCATTCCTTCTCCTTCCTTGTGCTCTATGCACGCTCTTATTGTCATATTTTGCTCTTTCGCGCATAGAGTAATCTACACAAGGGAAAGAGTGGCCACTCGAGCCGTTTCGCGGCCGAGCGTTTAGTTTTC